TCCCTCCTGTACCCGGAGGACCCCTACTCCAAAGCTCACGCCACGCCAGCGCACCCCGCGTCACTGGCGCGGGGGTGTCCCACCCTCCTCCCCCGCCCCCCCCACCTGCTCTGCAGCGCCTCGGTCACGAAGTCCTTCCCGGATTTCCTCTTCCCGCTGAACAGCAGCACCAGCCGGGGGGCTCCTCCCCGCGGGGCCATGGGGCCCCCACACTTGGGCGATCCCTAAAAATGGCACGACTCCCAACCCTTAAATTGGGCCACGGGCGCTTGAACGGAGGCGGCCACCGGGTGGAGCGGCCGCAGGGAGGGCTCCGCGCGTCCTCCCCGCAGCCGTGCAGGGGCCCGGCCGCCCGCACCTGCACTTCCGTGCGTTTTAATTAACGTCGAAGAAGTTCAATGTGGAGGCCAAGAAGGCTGATCCCGGGGCGGCCTCCCCGCGGCAGACGCCCCCCTCCCCGCTCACTTAGGACAGCCCGGCCCCGCCTCCTGAGCTGACGGGCGGGGGCGGGGACTGGGTGCGACCATTTTCCTCTTGGGGGGGGGCGGCGTCTTAACAGGTCCCGACGCGAACCTCACCCTCCCTTCCTGCAGCCCTGCGAGTATTGCCGGCAAAGAGCGAGCGTGCTCGCTGGGAGCAGCTTCCCAAACCGCCTCTGCGTGTGCGCGTTACAGTGCATGTGCGGACGCGCGTCTACACGGCCCCCGCGGTGCAACTGGGTCTTTCTCTGAACCGAGGCGATGACGTCAGAGGGTGGCCCGATGGCGTCATTCCGGGGGAGGGGCTTAACTGCACACACGCTACTTTATTGTTAAACCGGTTTTTTTAAACTGGAGAGGCCTTGGCAGTTGGGCCCTTTTAGCCCAGCGAAGAAGCTCACGTCGCTTGTCTAGCCTCCGCCTCCGCTCCAAAGGTGTTGGGAAGCGAGGGCGGGTGGAATGACGTGGTGACACCAAGAGCAGAGGTTACAGGGGCCTGGACGCCGCCCCTGGCCGTTCAGACGGCAGGTTCAGTTCCTGGTCAGGGCACTTCCCCAGATTTCACTCGCACTCCTCTTCCCTGCGTCTCCACGAGGACCGACTCGAACTCCCTTCCAGAGTCTGTTCCCCAACCTGAGCCAAACCACAGCCCTGCCCTTCCTCTTCCGCTGAGCAGAGCTCCCTGGAACTCCCACACGGTGATCAGAAACATCCAGCCTCTTCCCAAGTTCCCCACTGCTCCCCACTCCACTGAACCTCACGGCCCCCCCTTCCCCCAGCCTCCGAGCTCAGCACAGACTCTGTCTGTGGCCTCTCTCCCTCCCCGGTTCTGCTCCCAGACCATCACTCTGGCCTCTGGGGAAACTGGCTCATCCCCCCTGGCGGACCTACCCTTTCCCCTCCTCAATGTGACAGCACCAATCCTGAGCCTTATCCTCATGCAATGAGATGTGGCCGCCGGCTCCTGGTCTCTCCACCAGCTCCTGCCATCCCTTCAGTGACTTCACTCCCCGAACGGTCAGCCCATCCAGCACTCTGACCGCTCAGTGCCTTGGCCTCGGATGTCCAAAGGCCTTTCCTGCCCTCCTTCTCAGACACCAGCTCCCACGGACACACCCTGGGCCTTGTCTCCTCCAGGCCATTCACCCTGCAAGGTCACCTGCTCAAATGCTGCCTGGAGCAGGGCTTCCTTCCCAGGGCACCCCGAGCCCAGGAAACTCTTCACATTGTACATCTGCTCTCCTTCCTTCCACGCCCAACGAGAACATCAAGTAGATGTGTGGGAAGCCTTTGTAAGCTGTACAGGGCTGCACAGATGTGAGGCGCCATCTGGGGGGTAGAACCGCTGGTCTGAAGGTTGGGGTGAGACAGGAAAGCAGGGGGCAGCAGGATGGGATAGAGACAGCCCAGGAAGGGAGCGGCCAGGTGCTTGGGGACTGAGATCAGAAACCAGAGATGCCTTACACCCTTGCCAGACGGAGCGTCCAGAAGACAGTGCCTAAGGAAGCCCGTGCTGGGGAGAAGTGCCCCCAGA